CAATCACTGCTTTCTCTTGGATATTACAAACATTTGTAGAGCCATAATGAAAACTTGGTAGGCAAACCCAAATACTCGCATCGACCATTTGCTTAAACTTGATAGGCTAGCAAGGGGCTTGTAGCTCAAGCGGTTAAGAGCATCTATCCCTGCACTCGAGGTCCTAGATGTGATTCCCTCCTCCCAATATCGCTTGTAACCAAAAACAAACAAAAAACTTGATAGGCCAGACCCAGTCCCAGATGAACCTGGTTTTCATAAACTTGTTGGTCACCTTGATAGTGGCTTATTAGAAGTCCAAATTGGTTGGGAAAGTAACGTCCACCAATTTTAGCAGAAGATACCCTTTTGGACAATATTGAACTGAGCACTTGATTGTTAATGACTAGGGCCCCAAGGGTATGTTCTAGGTATGCTACCTTATGCCTAAAATAACCCTTTTGTTGTGATGATCTTTAAAGGGTGACCAAGAACGCACAAAATTTTGTTCATTAGACCATATTGTAGAGGCTATCGAAAATTTTCCCAGAAATCAAGGATCCATCCCAGAGGCACAGAGGAGATGGCCTGGTTCAAAGTGGCGGAATCTTCAGGTGGCTTAAGCTACTCTGAGCTTTTACCAAGTGATCTTGCTTTTATGTTCCCTAATCAATATTATAATGAAGGGTTTTTCTGTTTGCTTTGAATGTTCATGGGATGAGCCAGGGTTAGTTCATGGGAAATTGAGACTCCTGAAAATCTTTTCATATTTCCTTCTCTGACTTCGAGTCTTAAACGACCATTCTTGGTTGTCCAAACGTTGATGTTGGAAGGCAACCATCATTTTCGAACATACTGGATGAGTTTTCTACACTAAAGAATTCAGATTTCCACAACCCCTCAGATTGCTTGGTGTAACCTGAGCTCGAGCCAAAATCTTCAGTCTCAGTATTAATAGCTGACATTAGTTAGCAGGAAGTGAAACTAAATGAGGAAACTGTACTTGGAACATCTGTGCTTGATGTAACTTTTATAGTTGAAACTTTTATGTAGTTGAAGCGGACTATAGACATAAGGTACTTTTCTTGGCTTAAAGCCTGAAGCCACAGAACTGAAATTACCAGTTCAAAGATATTTGATAACTGATTCTTCAACTTCTTGGGGGATCAGAGGCGGCCATACATATTTGAATGCTAAAATACATCAAATATTGAATGCCTTAATACATTCAAGAATACACTATGATTCTTTCATTTCCTAACAATTCATTGTCCAGAGAACAGAACTACTAATATCTCCTAAAGTAAAATCAAGAAATAAAATAGCTTTTAAATTACGCAACAGATTCTACCCCCAGCTTGCTTGCAGTAAGGAAAATAAGCAATTGATGATGCCCTTATGCAACATTGAAGGAATTTCACAAGGATGTTAAAAAGTAATGAAGCCACACAAATTTTGTGTACTCAATGTCAAAAATTAGCTCAGGTAATTACAAGATATTCACACTGAATCCATACAGAAAAACCAAAAGCAGCAGATGACACATATCAAGCACGTCTCTTACTAAGACGCCAGGAGTTAGGTTCATGGTATCTATCATATAGCGGTTCAATACGTTCTTGACGCTTGCGCTTGCTCATCTTGGTGGGATCTGCCACTTTGAAGAACCTGGGTGCCAGTTCCACGAGCCATTTGGGGTCGACGACCGTCACCTCGCGCATGTACTCCTTTGTGGTCATAACCAGCTCATGGTAGATCACCCAATCTGGTTGTCTCTGGAAGAGGGCGCTGCTTGGGTGTATATAAACTGGTTGGTTCTCCACTAGGGTTCTATAACCCTCCTGCGGGTCCTTTCTAGCACCGTGGAAGAAAAACCCCGCCGTAATTGCCTTCCTGATCTTTGTAAAATTCTTTCCAGCACTCACAACATCTAGTTTATACCTGAAATTCACAACCTATAGTCAGAATGCAATTTCATCTTCAAATCAGAATACTCAACTTAGAAATCGTTGATCACTGTTATAAACTAAAGCAAGGAAAGGGGTGCTAGTAGAGACATTGGCATGACAAACTTATGCTAGGTTTGTATACACAATCTTTATAATAATCTATCCTAGAGCTTACATGACAATGCTATGTTCAATCAATGAAACCTGTTAATGGTGATGGTAGGATGTGTAATATGCCATCTGAATTTCCATATCAACTTTTAAAACAGTTTCGCAATATTTTGTACAAACAACACTTTACCAAGAGAAACAATTCCGGTATCAAAATGACTAACATTTCAGCACATTTGAAGAGCATATACTGGCAATTTAGCTATACACAAAAGGGTAGTTATAATTTATAAAGATACTATACTAAAACCACTGAAAAAATGGTGGAAAAAAGCACTTCTGCTAATAATGCTCTGAAAACAGTGTATGAGATGACATCAACATGACAACTCGTAATGACCTATGCTCAGGTACCATATATCTAGATTTTAAAACACAAACTAGGCCTGAACAACCTTTCAGCAATTCCATCAAGTACAGACAGCAAAAGGCATGCCTAATTCAAGACTACTGCAAAAATACAATGTACCAAACATGAGCAAACCTAGAACATTAATCTACATCTTTTAAAACCATTCATGCACATGTGAAACCAGAAAAAAAGATCCATGCAACCACGAATACACATCAAGATAAATTAGAAGAACATACTTGTCCATGATGCTGAGAAGCTGTTTTCTGACATCCTGTGCCCTCCTCAAGGATCGAGACTGAACAAAGTTCTCAAAACACCATGGCCCTGAAAAATTCTTAGCTTTCCATGCCTCATAGACTGCAAGTAAAGTCAGATGATCTCCCTCTGGCTGGAAAAACTTGGCTCTCTTCTGATCTGCCTGGGCTTGTTTTTCCCTAGGCCTGTAAAAAATATTACCAGTCTGAATCATTGCAATGATGGTCAAGATCTCATCACTGCATCCAAGGTCCACACTGGCCAATAGCATCTTAGACAAGGGTGGATCCAGAGGAAACTCAGCCATTTTCCTACCCAATTTGGTGAGCAGCCCCTCCTCATCCAGTGCTCCTAAACTGTACAATTGTTCCATGGCAGAAATGAGTGC